GCAGCGACAATGTAGAAACAGAACTTCGAAGAAGTAAAAGAGCAAGAGTTGCTAAAGAATATGGGGCCGATTATGCGACCCATAATGTAGAAGAAGATCCAATAAATCTTCAAGAAGCACTGTCATCTATGGATGCAGACTTATGGCAAGAAGCCATTAATGATGAGATAGATTCTCTAGAATCTAACAAGACCTGGCACTTAGTAGACTTACCCCCGGGTTGCAAACCAATTGGTTGCAAATGGGTTTTGAAAAAGAAACTAAAACCTGATGGAACGATTGAGAAATACAAGGCTCGCCTTGTAGCCAAGGGTTTTAGACAAAGATAAAATATAGATTTCTTCGACACCTTTTCTCCGGTCACTAGAATTACATCCATTAGGGTACTCATTTCAATAGCAGACATTTATAACTTAATAGTACACCAAATGGATGTTAAAACAACTTTTTTAAACGGTGACTTAGAAGAAGAAATCTATATGGAACAACCAGAAGGGTTTGTAATCCAAGGACAAGAAAGCAAGGTCTGTAAGTTAGATAAGTCTCTGTATGGACTAAAACAAGCCCCTAAACAATGGCATGAAAAGTTTTATAACTTAATGATAATTAATGGGTACAAAGTGAATGAAAGTGACAAGTGTGTTTATTACAAATCTGAGAATCGCATTTGTACTATCATATGTCTATATGTAGACGATCTACTTATATTTGGATCAAACGTTCAGGCCATTGATAACGCGAAATCATATCGTTTATTTGGCTTGATTTACATGCATTTATTTGTGACTTTTATTAATTTATCTTGATTTATGTTCTATTATATGATTAATTTACTTCGTTTTGCAGATTGGGGAGAATTTGGACTAAAAAAAGAAAAGGAGAAGAAACAGATGAAAAACGGATGAAAAATAGATGAAAAACAGCAGATACGGATTCTGCTGCTGTGACGACCGTCACAGGTCCATGACGACCGTCATGCGTGTGACGACCGTCACATTTCATGACGACCGTCACGCAGACAAAAAACGCAGAATCAGAATTCACGATCAATCTCAACTTAAATCCTTCCTACACTTTCTCCACTCACTACCCACTACTGGAAGTTACTACACTTTCTTCACTCACTGCCCACTACTGGAAGTTACTACACTTTCTCCACTCACTGCCCACTACTGGAAGTTACTACCACTTTCTCCATATCTCACGCATGATCTCAGGAAGTTGAGATAAGAAACATCTCCTATAAATAAACAAGAGACTCACAGAGAAAGGGGTGGATTCTTCGTCCCGAAGTTCTGCCAAAATTCCATCAAAGTTATTTATCGTTACTTTTATTTTCCTTTCCATTTTCCTTCAGTTCAGAATATTGTATTTTCTTCCTGTACCTTTTATTTCTCGCCAAAGTAGAATCCTGCCGACATTGTAGGGGACTACCCAAGGATTTGAGATCAGTACCATTTACAGGTTTTTATTAATTGAATTACTACTTTATTTCTGTTGTGATGCACACTTTATTATTCCGTTGTTTATGTCTATTTCCATTCGCATTAATTATCATGTCTAGCTAAGTTAGTTTTATCGGTATCTAACCGAATTAGTAGGATAGGATTTGATAATAACCGGTTGAAAACTTTCCTTTTCAAAAGTTGTTTATGGTCTGAGTGTTTAAATTTATTTACTGAATAAACTTCGTCGCGAAAGCGAGAACTTATTTAAAAGTAGTTTTGCCACAAAAGTGGGAAATTAATTAAGGTACGAACCAACAAGCGAAAGTTGCAACAAGACCAGATAGTAAACACTAGGCATTTGTTTTAATAACAGCGAAAGCACTTTAAAATGGATTAGAACCTAGAGATTTCCAAAAAGTAGTTTTAACCCCGAATGGGACAGCGAAAACGTACATTCGGCCCTTAGAATTATGACTAGCGTCAACAACCATCGTGAGACGAAAGTCTTCAGATCACTATTTTCTTCTGAACAATGTTTGCAAAGAGGAAGAAACATCGGTGACCTGTCGAATCCCAGATAACTAAGTCTTTGCATATCGATATCCTTTACCGCATTTCTTTAAACCAATTTTCTTTATTTCCTTTGCATTTAATTTCATTCGCATTCAATTTTCCTAATTCCAATAGCCTTAGCTTTACGCCGTAATAATAGATAACGGTAGATTGACATTGGTCTCTGTGGGTTCGACAATCTTTTATATTACTTCGATATTTCCGTGCACTTGCGGAGCGATCAGCCATTAATGATATGAAATCATTGTTATGCAATAACTTTGATATGAAAGACCTCGGAGAAGCAAGCGTGATCCTGGGTATCAAGATCACGAGATCCGACCAAGGAATTTCTTTGGATCAATCTCACTATGTGGAGAAGATCTTAAAGAAATATAAATACTTGGATTGTAAACCTGCATACACTCCGTATGATCCAAGTGTGAAACTGTTTAAGAACACTGGAGAAAGTGTCAAACAAGCAGAATATGCGAGCATCATTGGCAATCTTAGGTATGCCACTGATTGTACTAGACCCGACATTGCATATGTCGTAGGATTGTTGTGCAGATTTACAAGTAGGCCGAGTAACGAACATTGGCAAGCTATTGAGCGAGTAATGAGGTACCTTAAAAGGACTATGGATCTTAGCCTACACTATCAGAAATTTCCTGTTGTACTAGAAGGGTATAGTGATGCAGATTGGAACACCTTATCAGATGATTCCAAAGCTACTAGTGGTTATATATTTAGTATAGCCGGAGGAGCTGTATCTTGGAAATCAAAGAAACAGACCATTCTGGCACAGTCCACAATGGAGTCTGAGATGATAGCATTAGCTACAGCTAGTGAAGAAGCAAGTTGGTTAAGATGTTTGCTAGCTGAGTTTCCTTTATGGGAAAAACCTATACCAGCTGTGTTGATCCACTGCAATAGTACCGCGGCTATTGCAAAAGTTGAGAACCGTTATTATAATGGTAAAAGACGTCAAATTAGAAGAAAACATAGCACTGTTAGAGATTATATCTCTAAAGGAGCTGTGAGAGTGGATCATGTACGCACTGATGAGAACTTAGCAGATCCTTTGACGAAAGGATTAGCTAGAGAGAAAGTCCATAATACTTCCAAAAAGATGGGACTAATGCCTATAAAGCAATTAGTTACTCATGATGGTAACCCGACCTAAATGACTGGAGATCCCAAGACTTAGGTTCAATGGGTAATAATAAGTTGTGAGTAATATGAAAATGATCATGCAAGTAAAGCACGAATCCTGAAGTAATGAGAGGATGAGATAATAGAAACTCTTAATGAGATCTATACTCTGTATGAGGGAGTACCTAGGCTACAAAAGTACTCTTGATAGATTCACCTATGTGACTGTGGAACTGAGGCCGGTTCCTATGGAATTTCGAGGCAGAATTCCTAGAGCATTCACTAAACCGAGATACACGTGCAGGGCCACTAAAGCACGGGCTACAAGAATACACCTTACAGAAAGGTTGTGTGCGGGTCTGATGTCCGAGATAGAGTTCAAGACAATGGTGTCACTCTTGTTGAATCAGAATCCTACTCGCTACGCTAAGGTTCAAGTCGTAGACACTTTTGCTTATGCTCAAGTGGGGGAATGTTGGAATTATATTAATTAGAGTGGGAATTGAAAAGATTTATTGACAATTAATGGGCAATAAATGAACACAAGTAAGAACTAATATATAAGTGAATTTGAAAAGATTCATTTTAGTCCCACATTGAAGGGAATGGAAATATTAGTAGTGTTTATATATTCCAACTTGGTCAATTGGATTGGGCCCTAAAGGGCACCCAATTTTGTGAAGGAGTGAGGACACACCCGCGCGCGCCGCCGCCGCCGTCCGGCCGGCTCGGGTCCAAAAAATAATTCATCTAGACCGGATCGAGCAGGGCTGGCCGGACGGACAGCGGCGGCGCGGGTGTGTCCTCACTCCTTTCACAAAATTGGGTGCCCTTTAGGGCCCAATCCAATTGACCAAGTTGGAATATATAAACACTACTAATATTTCCATTCCCTTCAACGTGGGACTAAAATGAATCTTTTCAAATTCACTTCTATATTAGTTCTTACGTGTGTTCATTTATTGCCCATTAATTGTCAATAAATCTTTCTAATTCCCACTCCAATTAATATAATTCCAACAGTGTCTTTAAACAGGATGAGGCATACATAGCGAAAAAGCAGTTACTGCATTGATTGTTTTAATTGCTTCAAACTATATCATCATAAATGTAAAACTGCAATATTTAGCAATTATTATTTATTTATCAATCAATAAGCTAGAATGTCTGGATGATATAATACAAACGTCAATCAAATATGTAGCAGAAATTTATGATTTCTATTAGTTATATGTATAGAGCGCTTAATCAATAGTTTGTCCAATAGTTATATTTGAATTTTGAAAGTTAACTCTGATTTCATGGATCTTATTCATCATATAGAAGAACACACTTGTGGATTAATAAACGAAAGTAATACACACTATCATTAAGTAATATTACCGAACAGAAAACAAAAACATCTAGAAACACTTTCAAGCACCCAAACTGGTAATTTGATTAAACAGATCACTAAATGATTGCACGTTTTGTTCAAAAAGAAATAATATAAGGTTGACAGGACGCATAGAAAACTCAGAAAATTAACCGCAGAGAAAATCGTGCTTCAGGAAGTATGCAAAACCCAATGTACCAATGAGGGCTGCAATAAGTATGGCATAAATCTTATCAAAGTAATATAATAAATTCAAGACAAAGTGATGAAAAACAATACAATTAAAAGTTGCATGTAACACTCAGATGTTTGCATAATCATCCTATGCAGACTAATGAGTAAACTCTATAGAATTAAAGTTGAAAAAGAAAACTTACATTTAAGAGTTGAAACTTCAATAGAGCACTTTAGAATGCTAGCAAATACGCCATCCATGATGTGAGAAGAGTTTAATATTTCTTCTACTGAAATTAAAATGAGAGTGGAGCAATTATCTTTCTTAAAGACAGGCTTAATTGTAACATTGAGGTAACATTAACATCCACTTTATTACAATTCCACAAATTGATCTCTCTTAGTTGTGTGCAATTTTCAAGCACATATTTCACTCCTTTCCACGTGACATAACAACAATTTACAAGGTGCAATTGCAAAAGCCCTCGACAACCCTTTGAGATTGCATAGAGTGTTTTATCATGAACACGTGTATATGACAAATTCAACACCTCCAATTTGGGAAATTCAAAGTTCATTCCAACAAGTAGCTTCCCTCTTGAACAGTTGGCTAAGTTCAAATGTCTAATGTTACAAAATCTCCTTAAAGCTTGACCAATACCTTTATCAGATATAGATTGGCAAGAATTCAAACCAAGCAGCTGCAAATTGGAGAAAAAGGAAGAAAGGCATATGATAGTTTCATCTTTTAAACCTTTACAATTAGCCAAATAGAGAGACTTTAATTGAGAGTTTACAATACAATCCATCAGAAAATTAGAATTCCTTACACTTTTTCCAATAGATGTGGATTCCATTTTGATCTCAATAAGTGAAGGACATTTACTAACGAGTGCAAACAAGGCTGATTCTGTGAGTCTCTTACAATGATTAAGGTTTATAGACATCAAATCACCAAGAAATAAAGACAACTCGACAACATGTTGATCATTCAAACAATAAGCCCTTTTCAAATTCAAATGTTGTATAGATGGACACTTGGATAGCAAAGAAAATATTCCGGTATAACTATAGCCTACACAATTTCGGAGTTCAAGCCTTGTCAAAGGAAGACCCGCCATTGCAATAGAGGAGAGCAAATCATTGGAGATATTAATAGACAACAATTTAAGACAAGTCAAACTCTTCAATCTCACCAATGAGTCAATGAAAGGTGAAGTAACAGGCTTGGAAAAGCGAGCTGCAAAGTAATTGCAAAATGATAAAGACCTCAATGTTGGCCTCTCAAGGAGAGCAGCTGCAATGCCGGACAGGGTTATGCTCTGACAATTATTGATGCTAATCTCTTCGAGAAGCTTACAGTTCTTGAACAAGTGGAAAAGTAATTCGTCGGAGATATAGTAATTGTGAGACAGGTTAACTTTGCGGAGTTTGGACAGTGCCAATGAAAGATCCTGTGCAGATGAGAAGGCGGTTTCATTAAATTGGAACTGTGTAGGGTTACTGATGTCAAGTTCTTGGAGCAAAGGGAAGCAATCGGCAATGAATAACACGTCGGTGTCATAGAACGTACCAATGTTAGAACATATGAGAGATGTCAAAGTTATAATGTTTTCGGAGAAAATTCCCAGTCCCTTTAAAGGAATCTTGGGATGGTTTGAGAGATTGAGTGATGTGATTTTCAATGGAAAACGAGAGATTTGAACGAGAAGAACGTCAAGATCACCGTCGTAGTAGGAGGATAGGTTGAGGGAGGAGATGTTGGAGAATCTACGGAAGAGGCTGAGGCTATGGAAGAGTTGGCATGTTGGATCATAGAAAGTGAGAGACGATCGAAGACGATTTGTGACGGAGAGGAACTGTTTGGATACGATGGAAAGAGGCTTCAGATGACAGTAGCGACGGTGGGTGTCGTCGGCGTCGTGGTTGATGAGGAATTTGAAGATGCATTCCCAACATTCATCTGGTATATATACATTACTGGAAAGCATATCTACTTTTTTGCTTCTAGTTTTTTTGAATGAAGAAGAAGAAGAAGTCGCCATAGCCATCGTTGATTTTGATTTTGATTTGAGAGAGTTTTTTCGTTGCCGTAGAATCATTACGGGAATATTTGAGGGGTTATTATAAAGTTAGGTTAAATTCAAATTTTGAGAAAATCAACCTTGCACTTTGGATTTGTTTGGACTATCTCAAAATTGGATTTCGTTTTTGGTGTTTGTGTATATCTTATACTAGTTTTAAATCTATTTATTTGTAAAATTAGACGTTTTAATTTTTTAGGATTAGGTTATAATGAAATTTTGAGGTATAGTTACATGTGAGAATATGTCAGATGTATTAATTTAGATTTAAAATCTAATCTACATAAATTAATCAGGTTAGGTTAGATTGATTTTTTTAAATAAAAAATGCATAAATTATGTTATAAGTCTATTAAACCATAAAAAAAACTTTTTAAGTATAGACATATTTAAATAAATATAAATAAAATTTTTAATATGTCAAATTCAAACCTTAGTCTATTCTATTGTCACTCCTACCTACTTAAAAATTAGTCACATAATTTATAACAAATAAAAATTAAGAAATATCATTTTGAAAATTGTGTACAAACTTAAATTAAAATATAAAATTAATTTTTAAATTGTTTTTTCAATACACATTTACTAAAAGTGATTTCCTTAACATGTGCCCCAAGGCTACAAGTTAACATTACCCTATCAAATAAATACTTGTTAATCTTAATAAATTAGTCACAAAATTATAACATTCTATTATAAAATAAATATTAAATTAATCACATTAATTTGTCAATCAATCATTTATAACAAATTAATGTCATTTAGTTATAAAATATACAATCATAAGTTATTATTATTATTTAAGTAGTTATTTAGCAATTCAATCATAAATTTTTTATTAATAAAAATGAAGTTTAAATGTAGTTTTAGTCTTCTTCTTCTTCTATTTTTTTTATTACTTTTTAATCACTACAAAAAAAAATCATATTTAAATTCCTTGTTATAAATATTCTTGAATTTTTTTAGTTTCATGTTCAAATATGATTATGGGCATGTTCAGTAGCAAATAAAATATGGACTAAAATTGATAATACTTTGTCACGTCATTTAAAACCATGTTTAAATTAATTTATTCAATTATAAAACATTAGAAATCGGTTCATCCCCACCCTACAATGGTGTTCATCCCTATTTGTACCTAGAAAAATCTTCGAATTTGTTGCAGTTTTCTCCTTTCCCAGCAAAAATTCAAAATTGTTGCTATCTTTATGATCTAACACTTCATGTTAAAAATTTTTTTTAACTCATACCCCTACAATTATATCAATACCCTTACATTTTTTAAAAAATATCAATTTTATTCCTGTCTATTTTTTATTTTTTTATTTTTTTTTTATTTTTTACTGTCCTGTCAGATTTTCAGAGTTCTGAAAAATTCATCCATAAGTTGTTTGAAACACTTTTAAAATGACTTCCGATGGTTTGAGTTTTACGTAGAAATCCTGCGGAAGACTATAAGTCATGTCTTCCGGTTTGGTAGTATTATTTATCGGAACACTTGTCTTAAGAGTTCCGGTATGAAGGGGAAAAGTGTACCAGAACACTTTTTACAAGTCTTTCGGTTTATTATCTTTGTCTAACGAAACTCTTTTCCTCTGTCTTCCGGTTTGCTTTTGTAAATTTTTTTTATGCAAGTACATAAATTCCTTCACAAATATGCGATAAAGATCAGATATGTGTAGATATGTCTGATGTTTTTTCAACTACTCAAAGATTTGGTACACGAGAAGAGGTGAGAAGATGGATTAAAGAGATCAGAATCCGAAATAAAGTAACGGTTATCATCACTCGTTCAGATATTGAAATAGGCAAGAGAGGGAGAAGTAACAAATTAATATTTGAATGTGATAAAGGTGGAAAACACAAAGATATTGATAGTGGAACCCAGAGTGCGACGAAAAAATGTGGATGTCCATTTAGAATCAGGTCAATTCCAACGAATGATGGATCTGGATGGAAGAATGATGTAAAATGTGGAGTTCATAACCATGGTTTACCTGATAGATTAGAAGGTCACACATTTTGTTGGTAGGTTGACAGCGGATCAGAAACAACATGTTGTTGATTTGACAAAGAGAAAGGTTTCACCTAGACATATATTGCTTTCATTGCAAGAGCAAGATCCAGATAATGTCACTCGGATCACGCAAATATACAAGCAGAAGAGTATGATATAAAAAAATATAAGAGGTCCTAGAAGTGAGATACAACATTTGTTTAAGCTTATTGAGGATGCAGGTTATGTTTATTGGAGTAGAAAAAGAGATGACTCTGAAGTTATTAGAGATATATTTTGGGCTCATCCAGACTCAGTTAAGTTGTTGAATATTTTTCCTATTGTGTTAGTTATGGACAACACTTACAAGACAAATAAATATAGGCAACCTCTGTTTTTAATTGTTGGCATGACGTCAACCGAGTTGACTTTTGCTGTCGCATTTGCGTATATTGAGTCTGAGCAGACTGAGACTTTTTGTTGGGTGCTAGATAAGCTTAAACAATTGTTTGTGAAGAAAGATTTGTGTCCACAAGTGATTTTGACAAATAGAGATCTTGATTTAATGAAAGCCGTTGAAATTGTGTTTCCAAGGTCGATCAATTTGCTATGTCGATTTCATATTAACAAGAACGTTGGTGCAAAATGGAAACAATATGTGGCTAGTGATATGCAAAAGAAAATTGACGAATTATGGACGAATGTTGTATGGGCTAGTGATAAGGTTGAGTATGATCAAAGGTTGAACCAACTTGAGCAAGCGTGTGTTGATTGTAATGAATTTATTGATTATGTGAATGACATATGGTTGACACCACATAGACAAAGATATGTTGGAGCATGGATTAATTGAGTGCTACATTTGGGTAACACTAGGAGTAATCAGTATATATTTATTTTTAGTATTTCTAAATTGTATATCTTTTTTGTATTTTTTAAAAATATTTTTAATATGTATTAATTTTAGGGTTGAGTCTGATTGGAAGTTAAAACAAATGTTGGGGAACAGTATTGGTGACATGGTTGTTGCGGTGAGAATAGGATACCAAATTATTAATTAATTTGAATCGCAAATCTTTGATTCACAACCGGTCTTTAATTTATCCGAAGGAAAGGTCAAAGAAAGGAAAACCTAATCTTGCATTGTAAGCACAATGCGGGGAGAGATCTAGGGTTCGGGGGTTGGTTAAGCTTAGGAAAGGTATTAGCACCCTAAACTTCTGTAGTACCCTACAGGAACCCCTTGTTTCAATGCTGATATTTTACTAAATTATTTGCTTAAGGGTATATGCTAAGGGTTAAAGGTAAAAAGAAAGACCTAAGGGTTAGTCCTAAGTTTACTCGCCAAGATTCGCATCTTGTGCCTACGTATCCGAGGTAGGGGATGAAATCAGAGTAATCGTATTTCCCCTCGAAAGGGAGGAAGAGAAACTTCTTGAGGGTGATCAAGGTTTCAATGGGGATGCAAACGTTCTTAAGGAAGCGCTTACGTGGAGTGCGGCGACTCTTATTTCTATGTTGTAATTGAATTAAATTGAAGAGGGTAAAATATGTATTCCACGGCAGGAAACCTAATACGGAGTGCGGCGACTCCTTATCCTAAAGCTAGGGTAAATGGTAATTTGGTCCACGGTGGGACGCCTATGCAATTAGGGTTTTTGGAAAGTGAAAGGGTCAAAGGTAAGGACTATCGACGCGGCGGTCAAACGTCTAGACCTATTCCTTCGGAAGGAAAATTTTACGGTAAATAACGCAATGCAAAATAATTAAGCGGCAGTATTGAAATATGGAAAATGTGCAAGAATAAGAACGGAATAAAAGCGACGATTTCCTGGCATAAATTACAACCAAAAATGAAATGCGAAAAGTACGGGATTAGTAAATAAGTACAAACGAGAAACATGAAAAGAACGACATAAGCGTTAGACATAATTAACGGGGCAAGGTTACGGGGACATATCTGCAATTAGGTGACAGTTCAATTCGAAACTGAAAGTAAGATGCTGAACATATTTTTTTTTAAGTGTTAGAAACTGGTATCTACAAAAATTGAAATTTTAATTAGAAAAAAAATGTGTAGATACATTTACAAATTAAGTTTAAGTTTTTTTGAATTAAGTGCTAAAATTAAGTTAACAATTGGTTTTAAGTTGAAGTTTTTTTTTTTAAAATAAGTTTTAAGTTTGAAAGGCCATATTTTTTGAAATTTCGAAGGCGTTAATCGGTTAACCCATATGGTTAACCGGTTAACACTGTTTGTTTCTGTTTCCTTTATTTTATTTTGAAGGCGTTAATCGGTTAACCCATGTAGTTAACCGGTTAACACTGTTCGTGTATATTTTTTATAAGTTCTTAAAAAAATTAAATTTTAATTATGATTTTTTTTAATATAAATTTTAATTATAAAAGATGATAAGTTTTAATTAGAAATAAGTTTTAATTAAAATACATCATTTTAATAACTAAAAAAATAAAAGTGGCACAAAATAAAAAGGGGGAAGGGTCTGTGTGTGTTGCTGAAGTTACTTTAGGGTTTATGAACCCCTCCTCTCTTCTTCCTGCGACGCGCCATTACTGAGCTTTTTGAAGCTTTTTCGTTCATCTTTCTTTCTTCTCTCCGCCATTCTTGCTCTTCCCTGTATGGTTTCTGAAAACACAAACTGAAAGAAAAAAATGGTCAGTATCAAAATGCTTACCCTCTTGAAGAGTTTGAAGCGATTTGATGATTGTAGGGTCTGATGAACGATTATGATGATGATATTTCGTCTCTGAGTTCACGGTAATGAGGGTGTTCTTCAATCTTCTGGGTTTCGTTGATGATTTTTCTTGTGATGATGTTCTTGATGTTCTTGATGATGAACTCTTCCTCCCTTCTTCGTGACCCTGACGAACTGATGGTGAACCCTTTTTA